ACCGGAGCGATTGCGTTAGTCGCTGCAGGCCCTAAATTAGCACTTCACTCACTACATAGACCCCGTTTGCGAAGAGAGCGCGTGCTTTTCATACACAGCGAAGTATAACAACTGGGACCCTTGTTAGTTTTCACTCATCTGTACTTGTGATTAAGTTTAGTGCGTCCATTTTGTTTTAACAGCCCGTTAAGTGTCGAGCGGTAGACGTTGTTATACTCACGGACAACTTTTATTGGCTACGAAAGGAAAGCTGCAGAGGTGCAGAAACTTCACATTTGCTCCTCCAAGTAGTCCGGTTCGGCTCGCGTTTCGAATGACAGCCGTGTTCCAATAATAACACTGCATTCAATTTGCTATGTCTGCTTAGACAGCCATTTGTGAGCGAAATTTGTCACAAGTTGCTATCATATTCATTGAGTCGCCATGGTGGCGGAGCTATGATTTTTTCATAGTTTGCGATTGCGCTAGCCTGATATAGGAGCGTGCAATTGAAAAGTGCGAAATACTGACTAGTTCGACGCTCAGTGCTGACATTCAACGTGTTTTCCACAGAACTAAAGGGCGTAGAGAAGCTGGCGGTTGTATAGGAAGGTAACAAAGGTGTGAAATGAACTACTTTCTAACCTTTGAGCTCGGTGTGGTTGAAAGCCCTTTAAAAACGTGTAGATATGAGCGCATGCGCAAGAAACCGTCAAATCGCGGTTCCTTTGAAAATGCCACTTATTTTTTTTGCGTTAACGATAAAGAAAGTACAGGCCTTGATTTGAGTTCCACTTTTCACTTGACGGAGCTCAGCACAGCGCCGCCACGCAACCTAAGTTGACGAAGTGGTTTTTATGAAATGAAATCTGCTATCACTCCTGCAGATAGGAGTGAAACTTTATTTAACTAAAACAAAAAACCTCGTGTTAGAGCTTCTATGGTTGGATCTCTATATCCAGGGCTCAACTGGCCTTAACTGAGTAAAGGGACGCTCGTTAGAACATGTAGGTTACACACAGATCCTGTCCATGCTTTTGCATTTCACACGCTTCAATTATTTGCCTAACAGATTTTTCGGGTCCCCAACCAATAATGTCAAAATGGTAGAGCAACCACACGCTCAGTAATGAGCAGGCAAGTTGGCACCTCCTTTTGAAGTGGCCGATGTGTCATGCGCTTTCAAGTAAGTATTGCCACGGTGGCGCGCCTGCCTTATGTGCATTCTACTACAAGAAGAGTGGTATGCGATACACGACATTTTTTTGTGCAGTCGATAAATCTTGCGATGTGGCGAATGTACAATTGCCCTTTGATTGTTCAGAAAATTCTTCCTTGTTCACCCCTTACCAAAACACTATCATCATCATGAACAGATATTCGGCACAGAAAGCGGGTAAATCCCAAAAGTCATCATTGACCCTTCAACAGGGAAGTACGCAACAGTTAACACGGACATGTGCCACAAAAACTTGTGCAGCCTGTAAGAAAACTACCCGTCATTCAGAAACGCCAAAACGCCACCGTAATAGGGTAAGTCGCCCTACGCACAGTTTACACTAAAAAAAAACAAAAACTTAACAGCTTTTCCACAAATGCGATACATTTAACGCAATAGCAACGAATTGGAAGGTCACGCGTAGAATGTCAAGCAGATCGAAACGTGCCCGCGTTTCTCACGCACAAATAACGCACGAAAGGTATTCATAGCTACCGATGAACGTGAATAAGCGTCTCAGTAGTTACTTCAATGACTCAGAAAAGCATGCTCTTTTCGCAAACGGAGAGTGTGCAATAAGGGCAGTGGCCATTGTGCACCGGGTAAATACCACAGAATCAATCCGGTGAAAGCCCAAAACGTACATTTTTTCCACTGCGAGATAAGTGAGCGCACGAGTGAGAGTTCCTTCTCACGGGACAAAATACGGGTGGGAGATGAGAGCGCGCGCCGCCGCGTCGAGACGATGTGGTGACGCGTGCTCATTGCGCCATCTCTCTGGTAATGCTGAAAACACGCCCCACCGCGGTGGTCTAGTGGCTAAGGTACTCGGCTGCTGACCCGCAGGTCGCGGGTTCAAATCCCGGCTGCGGCGGCTGCATTTTCGATGGAGGCGGAAATGTTGTAGGTCCGTGTACTCAGATTTGGGTGCACGTTAAAGAACCCCAGGTGGTCAAAATTTCCGGAGCCCTCCACTACGGCGTCTCTCACAATCATATGGGGGTTTTGGGACGTTAAACCCCACAAAGGTAATGCTGAAACCACGACAGCAGTTCTCCCGAGATGCCCATCGCCAGCGGTAAGTAGTAGATATAAATAGCTTGCCATTTGAACGGTCAAGGAGGTGCTCCTTCGTGGCTTGGTGGCTAACGCCTCGAACTCAAAATTCGGAGATCGGACGTTCGATTGCGCGCGCTGAAGTTTTTCTTTCTTGAATTTTTTTCTTTTTTGTGTGTGTTTCCGTATACATAAATACATATACATATACGGTGAACGATGGTCGAAGCCGACGGGAATATCCAGTCGAGAGTGTCCATATAATTTATGACGCAATAATGTCGCGATATATTGGTCGCTTTTAAATAGAGCGCTCTTCACCATGCCGATCAGAGACCATGGCTGAAAGAACACCCGGCCACACCGAGCTCGCAGGCGTCACCCGCTCGGGGTTCTGGTGAAGGAAAAGAAGAGGTGTTCTGAGATTTCTTTGGTGTTCGACGGACTCGCGCTTTTCACAAAGTTACTTTACTTGTGGGCACAGGTTCACCCTAATGAATAGGTTTGTTTTATAGGCGTTTTTGCTTTAGTATCGCTACAATATTACGAACAACGCAACAATTGGCAACAAACGATTGCGAAGCAATGGTGGTGAACCGTATACGTAAAACGAGAGAATGCTAGAGAATTAGAAAGAAAACGACGGCTACGAGATGACTGCGACGCAATGGAATGTCCACGCCAACGACAACGTGCACGTGTCGTGTCTGTGACTGTGACTGTTTGCGCTCTAACCTGTATGCGCTCACAATTCAACGTATAGAAATAACCTAGCATCGCGTAGCTACAGCGCAGCTATCGCTCAGAAAGGAAAACGTCATCTATTTTAGGTCTACAAATAACCTACAAGCAATCAGATTAGTCTTCAAATACTCCAGTTTCACTCTGTAAAGCCTCACACGGCTCAGTGCAAACTTCGTTTTTTGATTTTTATTTAGTATTATATTTCGCAGTTAATATATCCAAGACGATTGTATTGTGTTTGAAAAGATTAGCTTAAAATCTAAAAACTTTATCGCGTGCCCTGATGGCAGTCTCTTGGGTCAATCTCAAACATTACTGCATGTTTTGTATGAGTTTAAAAGATCACATTTTACGATTTCTCTGTTAGCTAGGTTCTTCAATTTAACGAAATAAAGAAATAAACAACATACCTTAAGACTTTGTGCACTTTATTTTTAATTAAGAAGTTGGAGAAGGGTTGACAAATATTGAAAGGAAAATCTGGCGCCAAACCAGGTTCATACTGGACCCTATACAAATTTCGCTCTTTTGCGGGAACAAGACGTCGTCAAATTCAGAAAAAATGGGTGACAAGCACATGGTTAAAAGTGACCTGAGGAAGTCACAGGAAGGAGACAGGCATTTTAGAAGAGGAATATTCCGTTTTTCTAAATATGTTTCCAAACCGCTATGAAGAAATCCGCATGAGATACTGAATAATTAGGTCTATAAAGTCTAGGGAGATTGGTGGTGTTAGCACAAAGCTGTTTTCGTGCTTGTCGCTCCAAGACACGTATAGCTAACGGGTTCACTGATTTCTCAAGCTATGTGTCACAGGAAGGCTTGTTACGCCTACCAGACGTACCGAATCCCTTTGAACCAGGACGTACAGCATACGTTGACCGGATAATCTGCAGCATACAACAAAAAAGTCACAGCTTTGCCGCAAAGGCGAAGAATGAACGCGATAGCAACAGGATGGAAGGTCGTGCTAAGAATGGCAAGCAGATCAAAACGTGCCCCGCGTTTCTCACGCACAAATGCCGCACGAAACGTACTCACAGGTACACATGAACGCAAATAAGCGTCTCAGTTGTTACTTCGTTGTGTCTGAAAAGCGCGCCCTTTTCGCAAACGGAGACTGTGCAACAATTGCAGCGATGCGCCCGGTAACAACAGCAGAATCATTCCGATGAAAGCCAAACTCCAGCCAAGACGTGCAACCCTCCGCACTGCGAGATAAGCAAGCACACGCGTCAATCCTACCCCCTTTACACAGGGCAAAGTATGCGTGAGATCTAAGAGCGCGCCGACACGATGGGACGATGCGTCCTATGACGCCATCTCACTGGTAAGGCTGAAAACACGACAGTTCCCCCCGAGATGCCCATCAACAGCATTAAATGGTAGATATGCCTTTTGAAGGTTGAAGGAGGTGCTTCTTTGCGGCTCAGTGGCTAACGCATCGCACTCACAATTTAGAGGTCTCACATTCAATTCCGGGAGCTAAAGTATTTTGGTAGATTATTATTTCTTTCTTGCCTTTTTATATAGATAAATCCGTATACATATACAGTAAGTAATAGCGATGCCAACGCCGACGCCGATGCCAGAGGTAATATCCAGCTGAGATTGTTCATTTATTCGCTACTGCAATAAACATATAGAAACAATTTTTCAAGTATACACCCGTTATGGGCTTGCGTGGCGACCTTTATGATGTGCCTTTTTATAAATGCAAGGATTACTGTCCGCCAACAAATCTGTATGACCTCAACAGTAGTATAGCCAGAAATTTTGTTGCTGGATGAAAGATTGATTTCACGCGTTTCACGCTTTCACGCGAAAACATGCAAACAAACGCGTTTCACGCGTTCGTTTGCATGTTTTCAGGTACATTTCCACACATACAAAATTTCCAAACCAGGGGGGGGGGGGGCTGAAGTCCTCTCCCAACGCTACTACTGCACTAGCTACGCCAGTGAACGTCTTTGGTTAACATTACTGCATTCTTCTCACCAACCTGAAAGCGGTGCATGAGCTGATTGGCCGTGGGCGTCATGGCATTCACGCCTGCCGTGGCTATGCTGTTGAATGTCTGCAACGTTCGGTTGAAGTTATGTACCACTGTCTGCAGAGCGGCACCTGATGTCACCGACTTGGACATGTTGCGAAACGCTTCGCTGGCCGACTGCAATGTTCGCTGCAAGGGTTCGGTGCCTTGTGCGCCACCAGAATGTGGCAGTCGCAGCCTCTGGAAGCTGTTCTGCAAAGCTTCCAGGTTCTTGACGATGTTGCCGTTCAGTCGGTGAAGGGAGGAAAGGTTTCGCAACGCAGTGCCCAGCTCACCTACGTCCCTGATGCGCAGGTGATCTGTAATATTCGACTGGACGCGGTCGTACAGGTCTCGAGCACACTGCGACCGAGAACAACAACAGGCGATGCTATGAATAAATGATGATTACGCTACTGGTAGAAATTGCGAAGCCAACGTGCTAGACTTCACGCAGAATAGAAACTGCATACAATAGATGGCTTGTTACTTTTTTGCATTATTATAGTTAAAGCTGCCGCACCGATTGAGGCCCTTCGTTTTATCTGCGTTTTAAGACGCTGTGTCATCGAATACACACACGCAGATTTCACTTGAAAAGCATAACTTTTGTCGAAAAGTGGCACCATAAAAGAGTAGTAAATGCTTTCACACCAAATGGCGGTTACTTTTCAGTATAAGTTTGTGGAGTATAACAATAACGTGTCCATATCAATGTTCAAATTTCTTCGAAATGAACCAACCATGGAGATCAGGCGTCTCAGTGTACTAAGCACTGAAACAAATGATACGTGTTTCTAGGAGCACTAACGAAATGGTTGAAAACTAAAAAATTATATTCATGTTTGCGTAATCAGTACGCATGCACCAGTACTGAAGTGTGAATCTGGGTATGGGCTCCTGGGTAATATGTTGTCAATGCACTTATTGTTTCGATAATTGCGACCATGTGTTTTTCAATTCGTCTGGAACTACGAGTATTCACAAATTCAGATATTGACAGCCGTGAACATCGAAAAGAAGAAAATGGTATGCAGATATTGACAATTATACATCGGGTACACGGGCACCGTGATCATGAGAGTGTTAAGTGAATGCTTTCGTGGTATCTTGTATCGTGACATGAATAAGTAAGGTCATTAAACGTAGAATGCACCAACCCAAATTTTTTTATTGGTCTACGAATACATCAATATGGCAGCTCCAAAGCCCACCCGTAAGGAGGTCTTTAAGCTGCATAGTAATGTGTAATAGTAATCTGCACAGTAATCTTTCGTGCGGGTCACGAGCATGAACGGAACTTCCCAAACTGTGTTTGTGAGGTGCGGTGAGGGGTGGTTTATGTGTTATGAGGTTATCTGTGTATACCTCATAATCATCATCCTGCACCTGCAGTAGCATTTCAGGCAAACAGCCAGGCTAACATCGCAAGCTTTAATGTGGAAATATATGAGCGCACAAGGTAGAAGGAAAAACACTCGACAGGAAAAACGCTCACTTACAACTGAAATATTATTAGAAAACATTCATTGCACAAAAACACAAACGCGCAGGTGCTACCAACTATCACTTCAAGGTTCCACCCCCCTCCCCCAAAAGAAAAGAAGATATACGTTTATCTACTTCAACAGCTCAAAAAGACACCTCTTTTTCACTTATTGATACCAAAAGAACACTGATACACGTGCTTTCATTCGCCCTAATCTGTTCTGCTTCCATGATTTCTCTGGTCAGTTTGTGCTTTGATTTGCCAAGAATTCTCATGCTGCCAATCTGCGGATCGCACCCACAATCCTTGCAGTGCATTGAAAAGTGCGTGCCACTTGCGAGAACCTTCAAAGACGTCGCATGTTCTCGGAGTCGATCATTTAAACAACGTCCAGCCCAGCCGATGTACACTTTTCCGCAGCTCGAGGAGATTATGTACACAACCATTGGAATACACAGTACAAACAGCGTGGCATGTTTTTTTAGTGCAACCGCTCTTGTTCACCGTTCTATGATTTCCTATCATGGGGCACAGTTTTGCCAGCTTGCAGGGAGCCTTGACAGCAACGTGTACTCCGTGCTTGCGCCCAATCTTCATCAAGGAGTATGAAATCTTGTGCACATAGGGCATAGCTACAACCGTTTTTGTTGGCCTTGTTTTCGCCATGTTGGCGGTACTTAACCTCTTTAACCTCTTTAGCATGGTACTGCCTACTGCCACAAGCAAGCTGTCCGGGTAACACGACCTGAGCAGGTGTCTTACTTGATTCCGGAAACTGCGTTCCATTTTTATGGACATGATTTGCTGAGTGATGAACTAAGGCAGGAATTAGGTGTCGCCTTTTTCACTAGCTTGCTGTGAGAAGATTCGAAGGGCAACAGGCCCTTTTTTGACCGTGGGGAAAACTCCCAGCAAACGTAACCAACTGCACTGAAATCAATGTTAAGATCTGAAAACTGCAAAGCCTCTCTGGCTGGTTTTTCATGTGTGAATGACATTGAACTTGTGCATTGTTTAGAACACCCCAAGTTGTTGGTTCCTACTGAAGTGGGTGAACAGTTATCCTCTATGTTTCACATCGCTAGGAGGTCGTCAACATATCTGTAGACATTAACTATAGGTTGTCCCACGAGCTGATGTAGTAGCTTCCGGTCAAATTTTGCCAAGAATAATTCACAAAGCACAGAGGCCACACAGGACCCAATGCATACGCCCTTCCTTTGGACAACTGTCAAATCATCAAACTTTAGAACGATTGCACACAGATAGCACTGAAATCTTGCAAATTTGATATTTTAGAAGCATTCTTTTTGGCCATGACACATAAAGTCATGTGTCCCCTACGAGCCATTGTCACTGAAAAGGGGTGTTGGTAGCATCTCGTGAGCTTCTAACTGCAACGACACCTGAACCTATTGGCTCCTGATGACCCCTTTAAACTGAAGTGTTCAGACGTACTGGTGAAAGACCTGTTGTGAGGCATGTGTGGTGCTGGGTATTGTTTTTCGGTTGATGTCGAAGAATTGATTTATTCTGTCCCGCACGATAAACTGTTTAAAACTACACGTAAGGCCATTGACTCTTTCGGGGTAGTAAACTTTCAAAACAATGCACTAATTAATGTAGATAATTTTATCGAGCTACTTCAGTGCTACTTGTGTGCAACCGTTGTGAAGTTGGATAATTTGACAGTTATCTAAAGCAAGGGCATACGCATTGGGCCCTGTGTGACCCCTGTGCTTTGTGAAATATTCTTAGCAAAATCTGACCGGAAGCCACATGAGCTCGTGGGACAACCTGTAGTTAATGTCTACAGATATGTTTATGACTTCCTAGTGATGTTAAACATAGAGGATAACTGTTCACCCAGTTCAGTAGTAACCAACATCTTGGGTTGTTCTAAACAATGCACAACTTCATTGTCATTCACACATGAACAACCAGCCTTGTAGTTTTGCTGTTTTTAAATCTTAACATTGATTTCAGTGCAGTTGGTCACGTTTGCTGAGAGTTTTCTCCACGGTCAAAGAAGGGCCTGTTGCTCTTCGACTCTTCTCACAGCAAGCTAGTGAAAAAGACGACAGCTAATTCCTGCCTTAGTTCATCATTAAGCAAATCATGTCCTTAAAAGTGGAACGCAGTTTCCGGAATCAAGTAAGACGATTACTAAGGTCGGGTTGCCCAGACAGCTTGCTTGTGGCAGTAGGCAGCAGCATGTTAAAGAATTTAAAGAGGTTAAGTACCGCCAACATGGCGAAAACAAGGCCAACAAAAACGGTTGTAGCTATGCCCTATGTGCACAAGATTTCGTACTCCTTGATGAAGATTGGGCGCAAGCTCGGAGTACACGTTGTTCTCGCGGCTCTCTGCAAGCTGGCAAAACTGTGCCCCATGATAGGAAATCATAGAACGGTGAACAAGAGCGGTTGCACTAAACATGCCACGCTGTTTGTACTGTGTATTCCAGTGGTTGTGTACATAATCTTCTTGAGCTGGGGAAAAGTGTACATCGGCAGGGCTGGACGTTGTTTAAATGATCGACTCCGAGAACATGCGACGTCCTTGGAAAGTTCTCACAGGTGGCACGCACTTGTCAATGCACTGCAGGGATTGTGAGTGCGATCCGCAGTTTGGCAGCATAAGAATTCTGGTCAAATCAAAGCACAAACTGACTAGAGAAATCATGGAAGCAGAACAGATTAGGGCAAATGGAAGCACGTGTAACAGTGTTCGTTCGGTAGCAATAAGTGAAAAAGAGGTGTATTTTTTGAGCTGTTGAAGTACATAAACGTATACCTTCTTTTCTTTTGGAAGAGGGGGGGGGGGGGGGTGGAACCTTTAAGTGATAGTTGGTTGCGCCAGCGCGTTTGTGTTCTCCTGCAATGAATGTTTTCTAATAAAATTTGAGTTGTAAGTGAGCGGCTTTCCTGTCGAGTGCTTTTCCTTCTACCTTGTGCGCTCATACATTTCAGCATTATGTTGTACCAACTGGCCAAGCATTCCACTATATCGCAAGATTTTTCATTAGAACATTTACCTCTATCTCTCAAGTGACATAGGGTTTCCATTAAACCATATAATGATGCACCATCGAGTGGCTTCGCAATTAAAACGAACGCTTTTTTGCCGATGCTAGCTTCCAGGACAACGTTATAAAGCGGATGTAAGGTAATAAAAAGTAAAATTGCTCATATATAGTTTTAAGCCGAATGTGAGCAGAAGCAGCTCTTCAAACTTACCTTGTTGAACTTCACAATGTCTACGGTGTTGTTTTCCTGCAAGAAGTGAATCACATACACTCTTAACACCGTTCCTTTAAAGGTTCAGCTGGAAACTCGTCGATAGACGCAACTGCACTCACCTTTGTTGCTCCACGCTTTAGGCACTGGGGGTATAGGAAAAAAAGAGTAGACGGAACGTGTTAGTGAATATTTACAATTTTCATATTGGAGTAACGAATTGTATAGAATAACGTCAATCGCACCCTAAAGGATTCGCAATGTTTCCTTTTGGAATATGGGTCTCGGAGGTGATAAACTTAACTGAACCTGTACTTCAAAAGCTATACTAAGGATGGCGCCCCATTCCTTGATTATAGGAAAATTAGTGTACTGCTAGATTTCATGAGACACGGTGTGCAGCGCCTTGGACGCCATCAATATAGTGTCTTTGTGTGTGCTACGAGCAGCCGTGAGGACAACTGCCTCTTTGTAGATGTCTATGAGTTGCGTCGTAGCTGTGGTTGCAGATATGCAGGTAAGACTTCAAAAAAGCGCCCCATTAAACTGATTCCAAAAAACTTAGCCATTAAAATAACAAATGTAAAGGCCTTTTTTTGCATGTGTGAATTGAAAGTTAAACCGCAAGTGTTCCGGTTTACTGCAAGAAAATGGCCGTACTTGGTCACAATCGAAAAATTGTGAATTAGATGAAGAATGAAAGGCAAGTAAAGTGCAGTCTCTTTCGAAACTTGATAGCTCACGTATAGTAGTAACTAATCCCTTCACTTGACATTACTTTCTACTTATGAAGTCCCCCTTCCAGTAATTCGAGTGGCTTGTTAACTCCTGTATACGGCAGTTTATTCCACTAAAAACGAAAAAGACTAATCCCAGTGTTCTATGGATGAATCGCGACATTCTCCACTTATCAAGCCGTGTGAATCGCCTCAGGCGATCTAAACGTAACAATAACCCTGACACTATCACCAAGTTCAATCTCGCGAAAGAGCTTCGACAGATGACAAACTCGGCTAGGGATTTTTATTATCGGGTGCAGCTTCAAACTCTGCTTAAAAGTGATCCCAAAAAGTTTTGGCGTTCTATCCTTCCTAAATCAACTTTACCGTCTTCATTCACCTCTGATGGCGAAACATTATGTGACGCAGCTGATATATCAAATGCCTTCAAGGACTATTTTAGTTCCAATTCTTCTGTTGACAATAACACTGTTCCTCCCTTCCGAAATCGTCTCTCTAATATCTCCATTGGGAATATCACAATTACCGCTGAGGGCATTCTGTACTTTATATTGAATCTGGACGTAAAAAATGCAATGGTCCTCATTGCATTCCCAATGTATTTCTACTCCGGTATTCCCAATTGTGTGCTCGGTACCTTGAAATTATTTTTAACACATCGATCCACACCGGTAATGTTCCCTCGTCCTGGAAAATAGGTAATGTCCTTCCTCTTTTCAAATCCGGCGATAAGCACTCCTTTTCCAATTATAGACCAATTTCATTAACCTCATACTCTTGTAAAGTTCTTGAACACGTAATCTTTAAACACATCATGAACTTCCTCTAGTCTAATAACCTTCTGTCCAATTTTCAACATGGGTTTTGACGCGGGTTCAGCACGTTGACGCAATTTACTGCCTTTTCACATGATATTTCCATGAACCTTGACGCAGGATATCTGATTGATGTCATAATTATTGATTTTTCTAGAGCCTTTGACACTGTTATTCATTCAAAACTCTTGCACAAATTAAATAAGATCCTTAATAACCCACAATTAGTTCACCGGATTTCTTGCTTTCTTTCGAACCGTTCTCAATTTGTGTGCTTTGATTCCGTTGCTTTTTTCCTGGCCAAAATCACTTCGGGTCTTCCGCAGGGCTCAATCCTCGGGCCTTTGTTATTTTCGCTTTATGTTAATGACTTGCCTGATATTGTTCATTGTAAGATTCGTTTGTACGCTGATTATTGTGTTTTATATCATGTAATCCACTCGCCCAGTGATCACATCCTTCTCAACGATTCATTTGAATCTTTCTGTAACTGGTGCCGTTCCTGGCAAATGAACATTACCTACAAAAAAACTGTGTTCATGTCCTTTACTAATAAATTAGTTCTTTCAGATTTCAACTACTCATTTAATGGACTCTCTTTGCTGAGAGTTTACCAATATAAATACCTTGGCGTGCTTTTCACTCCTAACCTGTCCTGGTCTCACCATATTGATTACATTACTCCTAAAGCGCTAAAAAAACTTTGTTACCTCTGGCGTACTCTATCTGCGGCCCCTAGCGATACAAAACTAACTGTGTACAAGACCCTTATCCGCCCCGTGCTCGAATACGCGTCACCTGTATGGAACCCCTACAACCAGTGCGAAATAAAACAAATAAAATCGGTACAGAAAAAGGCCATTAGATTCATCTTCAGGCGTTATGACTCTGCTTTTTCACCTACGTCACCATTACCATCTTTGAACCTAGCTCTACTTTCATCGCGAAGGAACATTGAGTCTCTCAAGTTATTACATTCTATAATTTATTCGACGTGCAAACTTTCAAAAGATCTCTACTTGAAATGTTCCAGACCTTCTTCAACACGCCAATACCATCCTTTGAATATGACACCATTCTACGCCCGTACTAACACGTTTAAATTTAGCTTCTTTCCACGAACTGTTGAACTTTGGAATAACTTATCCGGTGACATACGTTCTTTGCCCTTAAATGAATTCTTGTTATCCGTAAATACACTTTGACAGTTTGTTTTTTCCGTTTCACTGTTTACTGTGTTTACTGTGTTCTCTTCCTTGCCACCATGTCTTCATTGTGCCACCATGTGATGCCATGTATTGCCACTTTGTATTTTGCTTTCCTTCGCATAGTATTACACCATGTTTTGTACCGGCCTGTTACCCAGTCCTGCCATAGCCCTTACGGGTTGCAGTATGTAAAAATAAATAAATATATAAATAAATAAATAAATAAATAAATAATTTAAGTGACACGTCTATTAAGACCCTATGAAAGACACTCCAAATTTGGCAAGCTTGTTCTGGCATGATCACTTCGCTTAAGAGGCATTATAAAGTGAAATAGTGTCTTTAAAAAAGCTGTCACCCTACTCAAAAATGATTTTGTTATCATTCAATAAGCCTAGTTCTTACGAACCATGCACGAGATGTGCATCGCACTTGGTTTGAGGGGCAATAACAGCTGCGCACTAAACAGGAACACGAAACAAAAATGTGCAAACATGACAAGTGCTACTGTGAATTTGAAAATTTACTGCCTAAACGGCTCAATACACACTTCAAGTATGAATGCGCCTGCAAGTAATGAAAAATCATGACACCAGGTTACGGGTTATTTGATTGAGACAAAATAACTATACAAAGAACGCGAAATTGTTATCACACCAGTAAAACGAGGTGAATACGAGCCTTAATATACATAAAATAGCTTTTTTTTCATTTTTGGAGTGCTATATTGGAGGCGGATTAAATTACTCTTGAATGTCTCGTTTTCTGAGGTACTGCAGAGTCTTTCCTTTTTTTTATGGCCACAAATCTGCCGCCCCAATTTAGTATAAAGCCAACAGGTGCCGCTAGAGGCGCAGCTGTGCATGCGAGGGCACGAGAATCTTGGTATTGCGGTGGTGGTGTGCGGGACACCCTTGGTATTTAGCCTTTCAATGTTCGCGAAGGTCGATTTACTTTTATATAGCTGGTTTTAACACACAATTTTGCGTAAATGAGTACCGAGTACTCACACATCTTGAATCGGGTACCCAGGTTTAAATAATATATTCGCTCAAAACATTCTATGACATGTTCTGAGCGACTACAGCAAAACATGCATAGTCAAAAATACTTTGCCTTTCGGTAATTATGTTAATAAGGAGTGAGTCAGCGAAGAGAGCCTATACGGTGCTGTACGTCTGACCTAGAAAATGTGGCGCTGGCCGAGTTAGAACTTGTTTCGGTGAAATTTAAATCGCACGTAGCGATAAAGCCGAGGCGCCGATGTCTTTCGTGCACATACGCGTGCATATCGATTCAAAATTGCAATAACCACTGTGTACACTCGGCGACAACGTTTCTCGGCACTGAAGGGGAAGCTACGAAGACGGAGCTTCTGCACATGTAGCACTTCGCGAAGTGGTTCGTTTGGGCCCACGTCTCGTAACGCAATGGAAAGTGACAGCAGCGCACGATCAGCGTTTCATGTAGACGCAGGCGCCGCTAAGCGTTTGAGGTGCACGTAAAAAGGTGGGACTTTCTCGCGCGTTCAAAAATGTGCTGTCACAATGAATAAATTAAAGCAAGTAAGACTATCCTAATGGTGGGAGCTGCACCCTGTCTCAAATAGCTTCACGTACAGAATAAAGAGGGAACTTCTATATTTCTTAGTGAAAATACGGGCGCTTTTCTGCAACTACATTAACTGGTGGTAGGATGCCCGTGATTAGGCTCTGTATACCTTCGCTCCAATGCCAAGAAAAGTTGTCGCCGAGTATAGCAGCGACAAGGCCCACTTTCATATTATGCTCTGCTTCTTGTTACTCAGTTAACCAAACGCGCTTTTTGGTTCTTTTTTTTCTTGTAAACAAAACCACCCGCTGGCACTCAAAACATGTCCGGAATGATCATCCCCCACCGACACTCCTGTGTTCTAAGAAATAAGGCAGCAGATGCACAGAAAGAACCACAACCACATTAGCTCATGTTGCACCACACGAGGGCTTCGTTACCGAACACAGCCCCCTTTGGCTCAGTAGCGGCCCATTGCGGTAGCTTAGGGCAGCACATGAAACTGTCCCATGGCGTGACGGTGATGTTTTAGGGCCATAAGAGAATATAAAGAAATTTGGCTTTAGTTAATCTTCGAAACACGTTTGACTGACGGCACCAATAGTGCATATACCACCAAGCTTCGAGTGCAGTTTCGGTACCTTCGAAAATTCTTGAAAGCCATGCGTGGTAATTTCGAAGCTCGTTCTATTGTCCAGGCGAATGTTGTACCTGTGGGAACTTGCGTCCTCCGCCTGGGAGTCTTCTGCAGACGAGCGAAGGATCAAGACGAAGAATTAAGATTACAGCAGCGGAAATTGAACATGGAGAGCACTTACCCGACCTCAATCCAACAATAAAAATGGCTGTCACAAGGGCGAACTTGAGCATATTGGCTAGCATAGTCGCCATGGTAACGGTTTATCTGGAAGCAGTGTGACAGATTTATATCAGCGGGTAAAGTAGTAATATTTTTCTCGTAGAGAGAAAAGGTTGCAGCTAACGTGTAAGATATATGTAAAAAAAAATGAAACATTGGACGGCCAACTCCACAAAAGAGGTGCTCGAAGATCCATAATCTGAATAATTCATTGATTTGCGGGTTTTAATGTTTCAAAATGACTGTATGATTATGAGAGACGCAGAATAAGAATCTGATATGAACAAGCTAACCGCACCTTTTCTCTGAATACTGGTTGGACATTAATAATAATTCCAAACTCCGTAACTATAATTTTCCTGTTTGCTTTTTAAAGCTGATGATCGGTGATAATGGTCACAATGCGACTAAGGACAAAAATGACTGAAAGATAAGAGTGTTAGAAAGGCAAAAAAGAATCGGTGCACCACCTTCATTGTTAAAGGGCGACTAGCTATGCCCCACCCTTTGCTTCAGTTTGAGTAATGATTAAGATAGTTAACGGATGACAATAACCTCGTAGACACTTTGTTCATAAAGTCATTAGGATGTCATCACTGATCTTTTGTTGCACTTTCTGGCGTTACATGGAGACTCAGTTCTTTATTCTTTATTCTTTATTCATCAGATACCCCGCAGCACCCGAAGGCGTTATAGCAGGAGGGTTACATCAATAAATGACGTACATCTCCGTTCACCGACACAATACAACTTTGTTCACACATAAATAACTGAAATACATTTTCGTTCACACACATAGTAGAATTTTGTTCACACATAATACATCTTCGTTCAGGTTACAACACGGGTTTACAGCAGTGAATAAAATATACCTTCGTTTCCACTATGTACTTGCATTTCAGTTATCCTGTTCCACTGTTTAATTGTTCTAGGAAAAAAATGAATTGGCATACATGTTCGTTTTAGCTGGGTATTCCCGAATTTCGCAACTATGATCAAAACGTTTTGAAGTGCAATGAGGGTTGTGTAGGTATATTTCTCTATTAATTCCAGTTTTATTGTAGTAAATGCAGTAAAGAAATTTTAATCTCTGCTTCTGGTGGCGGTCAGAAAGACACTCCCATCCTAGCTCAGCCTTCATTGCAGTGCAGTTCTCCCCCCTTCCGTACCGTCCCAAGACGAACCTGGCAGCACGATTTTGTAATTGTTCCAGAGCAGCAATGAAGGTTACCTCGGCGGGGTCCCACTCGACACAACTGTATTTTAAGATAGGTCTGATACAAGTAGTGTATGCCATACGTTTTAAATTCACATGCGAACATCGCAGGTTTCTTTGAATGAAATTTAAAGCCTTACCAGCTTTGGCTATGAGAGTGTCAACCTGAGGCCTCCATGAACATTCACATGATAGTATTAAACGTAGGTACTTATATGTACTCTCTTGCTTCAACTGTACATTGTTCAGATGGTACTGTGACTGAAATGGTTTCATCTTTTTGGTAAATGAAATATGTACACACTTTGTTATATTCAAATTCATTTTCTATTTGGTACACCAGCTATAAATGAGCGATAAGTCTTTCTGAAGTGCTAATACATCATTGTGATCAAACATTTTTCTGTACACAACACAATCATCCGCAAACAACCGTATAGAAGATGAAATTCCTGCAGAGATATCATTAACATAAATTAAAAACTATAGCGGACCCAGGACGGAGCCTTGTGGGACCCCTGAGGTAACATCGGTGTATTCGCAGCATTTTCCATTCAGTACTACGGTTTGTGTTCTTTGGGAAAGGTAACATTCGATCCATTTAAAAACAGTCTAATCAATGTTCAGGGTGGTAACCTTAAACAGTAAGAGTGAATGTGACACCGTGTCAAACGCTTTCCGAAAATCCTAGAACACACCATCAACTTGTCCTACAGTATCTACGCCCGATATTACATCATGATAAAATTCGACTAATTGTGTTGTGCAAGACAGCCCTCTGCAAAATCCATGCTGCTTGTTGATTAGTACCTTATGCTTGTTTAAATGAGTTATTATTTCTTTGTATAAAATATGTTCGAGGATTTTACACGGGATAGACGTAAGCGATATTGGTCTATAATTACCAACGTCTTTTTTGGACCCACCTTTATGTATCGGTACCACGTGCGCAATTTTCCAGTCATGTGGTAAGGTACCTGTCACTAAAGATCTTTCAAAAATTGCATAAAGATACATAGAAATGGGCCCCGCACAACGCTTGAGTACACGCGGAGAAATTTCATCTGGACTACTAGATTTACTCTCATCAACGTCCCTCTATAGTTTTTCAATTCCATTAACACTAAGCTCGACAGGAAGCATAGGCGGAATGCTCATAATAGTTTGATGATAATTACAGCGGTGTTTAAGTAAGACTATCGAGTGGAAAAAGTTGTTTAGGCATGCAGCCTTATCCTCGTCATTCGTAATTACCGTGCCGTTATAATTTGACTCCTGTATTCCAAAGGAATCTGAGCCACACTGTTTTAGGTACTTCCAAAACATTTTAGGATTTGATTTCATTTTGTTGCTCAGCTCAGTGAAGTAATCATCTTTAGCTTTTTCTATCTTTAGCTTATATTCATGGGTAATTGACTTCAGTTTTTCAAAGTGAGCAACTGATTTGCTTTTCTTGAATGCGCCTAATGCCCTCTTCCTTTTGTTGATAAGTTTTAATATATGTGCTGTTACCCATGGTTGTTTGTACTTTTTTAGCCGCGATGAATGAACACTAGGGATATGTCTATTTGTTAACTCGGAAAGTATATTCTTAAATTTGTCCCACATATCATGCACATTGCCCTCCTCAAAAATACATTCGAAAACAGGGAACGAATTACGAAGTTTTTTAGAAATTGCGTCGTAGTCACCCTTGTCATAAAAGTAGATCCTTCTACTCGTAGGTAACTTCGCACACACTTTTTTCTTTTGGATACAAGCAACAACAGCAAGATGATCACTAATTCCTGGAATCACAGTCACGTCATTTACGAAATTTGGCGAGTTACAAAACAACAAGTCTAACACAGCGTCATTGCGAGTAGGGGTGGTAACGTACTGCATCAAACCAAACCTGTCGACGATATTTTTCATCGCAAGGTTCATGCGCCCACTTAAACTTATACAGGAACCATTACCCCAGGATAAACCAGGCAGATTAAAATCCCCCCCCCCCCTAGGAGTATTGTCTGGGCTGATGCTTTAGAAGGAATTTCATCTAATGTTTGCATTATGCTACTATCTGAGCTCGGCGAGCGATAAACTACTCCGACCAAGAACGCGAAGTTATCAGGCAGTGTTATCTTGCACCATACAGACTCCAGTGCGTCGCACTTATAATTAACTTCAAATGACTGTAAGCGAGAACGAACAAGTAAAAAAACGCCACCACCTGCTGTGAGCCTATATTTGCGATAGACGACGTAATTTTGCGGAAACACCTCACTATCAGCAATCGAGGGCTTTAGCCAAGATTCTGTACCAAGGACTATATCTGCGTTAACACTCTCAATTAAGCCCAAGAGCTCAGCAACTTTATTAACTACGCTGCGGCAGTTCACGATGACGGCAACAAGTTCTTGACATCGGTATTTCTCCTTTTTTCTAGTTTGTCATCGCCTGCATACTGGGACGACCTCTTCTTTTTCGTCATCCCACCTGAAAGCCCTGCCGTTAATAATCAGTTTGTCAAAATTCAGCTTCACTTTATTGTTCTTATCCTCTCTTTTTGTCTTAGCATATTCCCACAGCTTATTCCTGATACTTCTTGTCTCATGTGAGTAATCTTTGCTAACGCTGTACTGGGAATTCTTGAATCTTTTGGCATTGAGAAGCACTGCCTGACGCTCTTTGTACAATGAGAATTTAACAATAATTGGCCTCTTCTTATTTTCATTATAGCGTCCTAAGCGATGGGCCCTTTCCACAGATTCGAGTTCCATTCCAAGGCTCGTTTTGCAAATATTCTTTATTATAGCTTCGGATTCATCCCACGATTCTGAGGTTTTATCATCAACGCCATAGAAAACAAGATTTTTCGGCGACTTCTGTTTTCGAGGTCATTTGTTTTCTTTCGCAGATCTTTCACCTGTTGCATGAGTTGCCGTATTATAGCTGCCTGCTCCGTTACAATCTTGCTGATGTCCCTTATCTGGTTCTGAGTTTGGCTAAGAATATCTTTTACTTGCATCAGTACGTTCTCATTTTTTTTCGAACCTGAATTTAATGCCGTTTAATTTTGAAATTAAAGTTTCCTGCCCACTCTGCAAACATTTCAGCACTTCTATCTCCGGTGTCTTAGCAGGACCTGGGTTCAGTTCAACATCCCCCGTGAGTATTAACAACAAAATCAAATACAGCACTCTGTTAGAAAATAATCGCAATCTCTTCAGACGCGACGTATGCATCGTGCATCCGTGGTTTTTGTTACGAACAGTTAGCAACGTGGGACTTCCATCCTTGAACGAGTTCATCCTTTTTTTTTGCTTTTGCCTCTGCGTGCAGTACATCAACTACTACGGTACCAATTAGCATGCAATATCATAAATCTTGTAGATGACCTCATTTCTTTATCATATCTATGCCGAACGCTTTTGTCTTCGACGTCGTAGACAATGGGAGCAGTAAATTCAAGCTTCTCAGTTTTCATGCCGAGCTTTATCACAGAAACAAGAAACATTGGAGGTGATAGACGCATGCTGGCCTGCATCCCTGGCTCTGAAAACTCAAGAACTCACTGATAAAACCACTTTTCGGAATTGGTTGTCTCTATAGCAGCACATCTAGAACCATTGTTGGCGGTAACGTGTTACTAGTAACGTCGTTACCAGTGACGCATTTCTTTTTTTTTGGTAACTTGGTAACGTACTAGTTACAATTACAGAGCTGTAACGAGTGCCAGCTTATGTTACAACTTTTCGTTAATGTGCGGTGTCACTTTACTCCTTACTTTTTGATCTTGTAGGTGCCATCTTTCCAGAGCTCACCCCGATGAATTCTTTAGACGCAG